TATACTTGGATATTTTTGAAATAACCAGGAAATGGAATGGTTTTGCCTAGACAGATGTTTCTGGCAGAACTTACTACAGGGAGCACAGTCCAACTTTACCTTCCCATACCCTTTCCAATCCTAAGAATTTAACAGGGAAACTGCTCTAACATTTTGTATTTTACTCCTCTTTTCTGTCTTCATGTCTCATGCATACAACTCTCAGCCATCTTGCTTATTGAAAAGAAACATTATTAAGTCGATGCATTTTGTGAAGGAGCTCAACGCTGATGATTCAAGCTTGCATTAAAAGGCAACCGAGCACCAATTACCCATAAACATTTGTAGGAAGGAAAACAGGAAAACCAGAAAGGGAGGAAGTGACAAGGGAAGAAGGGAAAGAGAAAAGGACCTTTAAGTTTTCAAAATGCTACTCAGGCCCTGTAGCAGCGTACAATTTTCATTAAATTCCATGGGAATAATCCGGGCAAATCCCTTCTTGAGTCTTAAAAATAGCAGGAAACAATATTCTGAACTTTAAACAAATTTATAGCCCCTGTGAGTGAGCACCAGCTGTACTTGTTGAGGTCATCTTGACCACAGTTGAATCATTCATGCCATGTATATGTAAGGATTGAATTTTTAAATCTGATATTCAAAGTTTGATCACGTATATTTACTGCTGGCTCAGAGTGGTGTTTCCATTGAAACATATGGAATTGCTGAGGCCCACACAATTATGGGTTACAAATACCAGGAGCGGTTATAGGGATGTTTGAAGACCCTGAGAGGGAAAGAGCACCACCCCCCAGAGAGATGGAGATTAAGAATCCAAGATTCTCATCAATTTCTGGCTTTTATGCATCTTATTACAGACTGAATGTTATCTACCCAGTGAGTTTTTTATATTGATAAAAATCCTCAGCGTGAAATCTTAAGACTTTTCTTGAGTCTGTAATGGCTGCAGCAAAACTGAATTATGTTAAGCGTTCAGGGGTCTGATTTCTGAAGATGCCCAGAGATGCTCCTGGAGCAGTGCGGACCAAGGCATTAGTTAGATGAACTAGACCACAGCGGGACACCTCGCTCTCAGGCAGCCAAAGAGGGACCACAGACTCAAAGCAGCCTCAGGTCTTTGTGAAGCCTGAACATTGGCTTGGCCCAAAGGTGACAAGGAGCAGAAGTCCTCCGGAGAAGGCCACACAGTCCATTACCCACCAATGGAGACCTAGAGAGGAGAGATGGGACTCAGGCAAGACAAAGACGGGAGCCCAAGTTCCTGATTTTGCTCAGGGTGCAGTGGTGATAGGTCTCACAGGTTCACGCTTGGCACACTTGCTCTCTGACCACATGGAGTGTGTGAGAGGACAGGCCGGCCCTGGAGCCCTGAAGTCATCACACAAGTGACAAGGAGGCCATGCAGATCGAGTGTGGAAGGAAAGTTTTTCCTACTCTGCCAAAGCAAATGTAGACCTTCGACATTTGGGAAGGATTTCATGCTCCATTTTCTCCTCAGCTGATACTCACTTTCATTTATATTAAATGCTCCCTAGATCTTCTTAATAAGCAAGGAGATGAGAGAGATGAAGCAAATGAACTGGAGACTTCACGGTGGCTTTAATTACCTCTCTGGCAAGAGAAGGAACTAAAACAACAGTTAAAGCACGTGTGACGTCAAGAACTTCAGGCCTTCACCTTACCTGTCTTGCCAACCTTATAGGGTCCCAGACAGCCAACCAGCAGTTGCTAGCCTTTCTCCACAGAACTGGACCAGAGGCCCGAGATGCCTCCGGAGAGGCAGGAGGCAGGCAACAGCCACGGTTTCTCTCCTGAGGTGGCTTCAGATATCCAGGTCACCATTCCCATGGGCCCACTTGAGAACTTGAGTCAAACTGTGGAGGACCACAGTGTTGGGGATTGAGGCGATTATCATTCCGATTCACCTTTGGCGTCCGGGTGTGTCTGGGCCATGTGGCAGTGGGAATTTTGTCAACCTCAGGGAAACTTGGGGTTAAGTTCAACGGAAAGGGAAGTTCGCTTTGTAGTTGAGTCAGGCCAACGGTGACAGCGTCCTTTAAGGAAGCGTACTCATCAGAGCAGCCCTTTCTACTGTGTGACGAACCTCATAGTGTCACACTGCTGAGGAAACACTGGCACACACCACATGCCCCATTAATAAAGGACTGAGGAGACCAAGGCTGAGTGAGCCTCAAAGAAGGAAGTGGAGGAAGCCGGACGCTGACCTGCTCACCTTGCTCTCGAGACTGACTTTAAAGCCTTTCAAAGCTCTGATTGCTTACATGGACCGTTTCCCTTCGTGTGTGCCCGTGAGGAAGAATGTCACAGAATACTAACAAAAAACAAAGGAGATTCAAGGAAGGCGACTGCTGAACCGGGCTGGCCTCTGATAAATAGCACTGGGAGGGCCTTCAAAGTTCTTATGCTTCTCCATTAAGGAAAGGATGGAGGGACTGTTCCCAAGGGTGCTGCTCTGCCTAGTCATAAGCCCTGGTTTCCTGAACCCCATTTCGTGGCACGCCCACGGCAGACGCTGTTGTAAAACTGCCAACTCGGTGGCAGGCAGAACTGACAAACTTTGAGTGTCTCAGTTTTGCAGAATTGTGATGAAAATAAATAGTCAGGCTGCCGCTTGTGAGATTTCCTTCCCCTATAAGTTTGCAAACACAGTCCATGTCCTAAATGTGCTTCGTTTAAACAAAGTATGTTCCTTAGTTCCTTCGGTGGAGTGTGGGGATTGTCACCATTTGGCGATTACTGATGGAGAAAGGAGCCTTCACTGCCTGCTGCATGTACATGTGTATGAGAGGAAAGAATATTTATGGCTCCTGCTTGGAGACCAGATGCCGCTGCGTGGCATCTCTCCTTCTAGGACTTTCGGGGAAACGGTAACCCCCAAACACGGCAATGTACTGTTTTGAGGGGGAGGGGCGAGAGCGGTGCCTAGATCTACTGAAGTTTGTATTTTATTGGTACCTGATTGTATTGTACTGTCTATGATCGTTGGCTTTTCTGTGGTCAGCACAGTGGTTCCACCTGAAAAACAAAAGCGGTAATGGAAAAATAAGAAAGTGGAAGGCAGTTTTCTATCATATGCTTGCTGTTCTGTGCTACATGGGTTATTACCCACACACGCTCACATCTATCTGCGGTCTGAGTTCGTATTTTTATTACACGTCTTTCTATTGCTTCCATAAGAGGCAAAGATTTCCCACAGAAAGGTCTTCCTTTCATTACATCTCCAGTAATTGCTTTACTGAAAATTTTCCCATCATAAATCAAGTAACTCTACTTCAAATTTAAATAACATTGCTTTTTATGTAACACACTTGTCTTTTTCAAAAATTTTTTAAAAATCAAGAAATAAACATTGTCTATACATATAATGTACAATAATAGGAATATGTGTGTATATATATATATATACACACACACACACACACACATAATATATACACATATTGTGCAGTGGTTAAATCAGGCTAATTAACATAAGTATTAGTTCACATGCTTAGCTTTTGTTTATGGTGAGAACACATAAAATCTACTTTCTTAGCAACTTTTGAGTATGCAATAAATCCTAATGCATTTCTTTATGAAGCATCTGGAAGGCACACTGAGTTGAAGACTCAGATCCAGCAGCCCTTGCCGGTTTCCAAACCCAGTGTGGCACATGACAGCAGGGGAAGGCAGGGTCCTCCTGTGTCCTTGGCGACCTGGGTGTTAAACTTGACCTACGGTTCTAAACTTCATGTAGTTTCCACGGTTTCAAACGTGTGCTTTCAGGAGAGTTGCAGGGCCCGTCCTCAATCTATTTTAAAACCGAAAGCTTAAAGTGGATGGCAGTGGTTTCTCCTTTTTGGGTCCCTTTCCCCTGCTATAGCTGTTTATTTTTCCCAAGGACAAATATTCTACCCAGTATGTGGTTTGGGAAGCAGCACAAAGAGAACAGGCTCAATGTTTCTTCTTACTCCCAAGGCACTGGAAGATTGAACACATAATTCCCTGAACATCTTGAGCTTTCAGTTTGAGCCTTCTTTGGAATTCCTGGTCAGGGGCCAGGATGTCACCTTATCGAGACTTAGTTTACCTTCTCTTCCCATTTCTTAGTGCTTCCGTTTTCACTCACTGTCGTCATACTGTTTTATTATAATTAGCAGCACATATTAACTGCACAACACAACAGGCTTCAGTTGGGGTGTTTGCATGCAGGTATACAGTGTACTTGGGCCCTATCCACCCCAGCTGACCCTTTCCTTCCCCAGCGACCTCCTTTATGTTTCTGTGTTACAGTATCATTGCTAAACTTGCCCCAAATCACCTTGAATGCTTGTTAAAACTGCAGTCTCCTCCTCGCCTACCCTTCATAGATTGAACTGGGAATTAGAAGGCTTCGGAATCAATATTTCTCGACGCTTCTCAAATGAGGCATATAATCCACCACAGTTGGGGCACAGTGGTTTGCTCTTTGTTGCTTGGGTGTTAAGAAAGCCGTTTGTTCTTCAGTGCATGTGCCACGCAGACTATGGGCCATCTTCCCCTACCCCCGGAAATAAGGGGTGGGCCCCAGACTTAAAGCAGGAAGCCCTGGGGACCGCTATGAGGTGTAGCAGTCATGTACCTCCTACCAGTGGCATTCAGAAAAATTCGTGACGCTTCTTATTCAGGCCAGGCCCATTCTACAGCTCCTACAGATCAGAAATCAGTTACACGAATCTATCAGGAATCCGAAAGCTATAAAATTGTGCTCCTGGAATGGTCTTTGAGGATTTCTGAGCTAAGCAGCTGCAGTAGCAAGTCTTGTTACCCTGGCTCTCCCAATAAATATGCCGGCGAGTGGTCACATGTGTACATGGCCTCAATAAGGCAGGCAGCAGGGAGAAAGAATTATATGTATTATGGGTCAAGAAGGTGAGTCTATAATGGCAGAATTGGAGGATGGCCAGAATACATTAGCGTTCGGATCCCTGCAGTCTTAGCGGAGAAAGATTCAAGGTGAAAATTCACCTTTTAAAACTGATATGCACTATCAGTTTTGTTACAGGTTGGGAGCCAAATTCCACTGTTGGGTACACATGGCTCCAATGTGAAACTTGGCCTCCCGGTGCCTTTGAAGCCCACAGCATTATCTAATGACTTCAAAGGCATTTGCAAATGAGTAACTTCAGGGGTGAATTTTCAGCTTGGCAAGCAAGCAGCAGAAGCCAAGTTCTCTCCTCAATTCCATGCATCAGGCAGGTCACTCAGAAATCAGTTTTGTTCATAAGTCACAAGCATTTTGCTAGAGCGTTTCTCCTCCTTTGCATACAAATAGGTCACCCCAAGAGAAGAAATTAATAGACACTGTCCATGTTAGGGAACCGAACACGGAGAGAGCACTGATCTCCATTTCCAAATTCCCTTCCATTCCATCATGATTCAGGTGAGACTTCTCGTGGTTTGCTTTTATTACACTGAATTCTCAAGTTTAGGGTCCTGATGGTAAAGCCCATGACAACCAGCAAAAAAGGTGCAGGGAGACACATGGGTACAGGAGCCATGTGCTTCAGATGTGAAAATACACTTGGGTTAGGTGAGGTAGACCTTTGCTCTCTGCAAACATTACATATGAGTGGGGCCTTTTCCAGAAAAAAGCAGCACATAGAAAACCAAAACATACATGTTTCAAAAAGGAACGAAATCGACCTTAATACAATACATAAATACAAAGCATGTGGATGCCTTTTAAAATCACCTCTCCTCATGGGGCCGTGGGGTGGGCTTTTATCACCAGCCTCAGATGTTCTCAATGTGTGCATGTTCTGAAGAATGGTTGGGACAAACACTAGGCTGAAAAAAAATAACTTTCTCCCCCCCATAGTAATATATAGAAAAAGAGTAGAACGAAGTGTTTTTCTCTCTACTCAAGAAACCGTTTTAAACACCGTAGGTGAAACAAAACCTTGTACTTTTAAAGGAATGTCAGTGTCCCACTGTAAATGACCCACTTTTTGTGGCTTGTGATTGGAGCTGCACGTATCTGCTCCGGGCTAACACACTTGCTCTGTTTCATTCAAAGGCTCCCCTTTCAATTGACTGAGTCATGAACTAGCGCAAAAACTGAGAAGGTTGTTTGTTCTGATTTGAGGAGTAAATCTGACGCTTTGTTTCCGGTCAGCATTCGCTGATCACGCTAACAGGGTTCATAAAGGAAAGAATCCCTATAGAGAGGGCAATTGAAAAGGGGTGCACTACCTTCCAGCAAGCTCTCTTTTTCACGGGAAGTTTCCCTGCAGATGACAGGACCCTCACAGAATCCTGAGGTTTGTGGCAGAGTGTTTTCAGGAAACTGCCAGAAGGTCCTAGAGGAACTGGTCTGTGCACAGGTAACGTTTTTCACACTAGCTGCAGGGCTTTCAAGTTGAACTTGCCATCTTACATAGAAAACGCCTCTGCACATTAATAACAGGGATTTTTGGGTCCTGTGGCTCCTTATTTGTTGCCCACAGCGATGTAACATTCACTGGTGATGTGAACGTAACGGGTTATCCTAGAAATTTGGAGGAAGGCAGCTGTGGCAGGTGGGGCTCTGCACCCTACCTGCCCGTTCATAGCACAAAATTTCTGGGCTAGGTTTTTCTTACTCTGGACTCCATCTCAGAATGCAGAGCTCTCTTTCTCTTTCAGGGGAGAGCATGTGAAGTGACTGGAGAGGAACCATGGGACATTTCCTTTTAGATTTTGTGCCAACGCTTTAGCCAATAATGTGGCTCTGTTACGAAGCTACAAGGTAACCCCTTCTGTTTTGCCCACAGAAATTAACTATGTGGGCTCCCCAAGTCCCTTATGGGTAAAAATACAGACCTGCATTCAAGGGCTCAGGTTGAGAGTCACATGCTTATGGAAGATCCTTTTGACCTAGGTAGCACTGAAGGTTGCACCATACATTTTGCAACAACAGGGTGATAATTCTGGTGCCATTTCCAAATGGTGTGGTCCTATTCCAACCCCCCACTCGCCTAATCATCCTCCCTAATATTTCCTCCATTCCAAGTGGAAGAGAAGGTCCCTTTCTAGCTTATACCGTGTGAGAAGACTTGGGAATAACGCCAGATCCATTAGGCCACCTCCAGCACACACCATCTCTGCATATCAGTTAGTTGGTGCTGGTGTGAAGCAACACAGTCTTCTTTGTAAATGGTAGGGTAAAATGATCTACAAGTTCCCAATTTAGAAGCTGCATTTCAAATGTAAGCCTAATTCAGTCAATTAGTCAGATAAAGGCTCCACTTAAAAAAACAGACAGAAAAACGCTGTCCTTATTAGGGAAAGAAAATGAAGTGTGTGGTTATGAATGTGCAGGGCAAGTGTTAGGGGAGAGGGGTGATGGCCAGAGGAAAGGAAGATGCATGTGTGGTGGCAAGGCTGCCGCCACGCCTGGACAGCTTCGCCAACACCCTGTTGCCTTTGGCAAGGATTAGGGCTTAGCGGGGCCCAACCACGACATGGACTGAAATGGCACAGCAGTGGGATGAAGATGGTTTCTGCACCTGTGAGCTGGAAGTCATCACCTGTTCCGCTGTGGCAGTTGGCCTGGTCGTCGTCACATTCGTCCACTGGGTTCCCATTGGGAGTGGTGGGTCCAGCTGTCGGCGCTGGAACGAAATCCAAGGATTACTACTTCACACCTCGGAAACGCGTTCTCAAGGCTTTGGCTGCTGAACCTGTGAATGCTTTTGCAGAAAACTCTAATCTGTGGGAAGAAGGCCAGGGGCATGCTTTGCCTCTACTTCAGGAGGCTAAATACACTTGGATTTTGCAGAAGGCAGCAGGGACCATCGTGTGTTGGTATTTGATCCACCTCTGCTGAGTAGGTTTGGCTGCCTTAGCATTATCTACATTGTTATCTTATATAAGCCTCCTTTTTCAGAAAAGCTCTCACTTCTCACTGGCTGTTTATTCACAAGCCTGGGGTAGAGAACTTTGATGATACAGATTTTTCTGGAACTGTTTTTCATTTCATTTTCAAGGTGCTGCAGAATTCACTCATCGTGAATTCTTTTGTATTCTCAGGACTGACTGAGCTTGCTAAGTTTATATTATCATTTATTCCGCAAAAGGAAGTATCGATCTTCACACTTAGACCCTTATTGTTGTTGTTTTAAAAACCTGCATCGTTGTGCTTCTTTCTAAGTAGCTTCTTGACCTGGGAACCCAGGTCAAGAGCAGGTGTGTAAGCAATGACTCAGGATTCCCAGGTCCTGTTACCTGGACTCTCATAGGATTCCGTTCCACTGTTGGCAGGTACCCTTTTATCTTTGCATGTGTGGTTGAAGGGTAGCCAACATTAATCAAAAACCGCTTTTGAAGTCTTTTAAAGTTAGTTCAGTCTACTTTTTTTCAGCCTGTTACTCATTTTTTGCAATCTGTTTAATATTTTACAGTTTTCCGTGTTGCATTTCACTTTACCAGTCTGAGATAAAGCACACTTCCCTTGATGTTAAGAAGCATACACGATTTGGGGAGCTGGAGGGGTGAGGTGGGAGCTCTTCTCTCACAGCTCCTGGCCAGTAGGAATATTCCCACTCATAACCTGACACTGTTTGCTACTGTGCTTAAGGACTGAGCAAAGTTATGAAAAAATGTAGAAATGCAGCTAAAGCTTCAACTTCTTCAGCTATCTGAACTAATACGCCAATAAGTAATAACTAGAACTCCTCATATACAGACAGGCAGCATACATAGCACTGGGGCATGCAATCAAATTTCATAATGCACACATGTTCTGGGCTCTATTTATTGCTACCTTTGGATCCATAGAATGCTCTCCGGCAATCCACACAGTTGTCTTTCCTAAGCTGTCTTTGTCTTTGATGACATGCTGCCTTCAAGTGTTTTAAACTCCCTATTTTTGCTGGTTTTTCTGGATTCCTAATGGTGTCGACAAAGAAGTTCCACATTAGAAGTGGTCCAGGGCAGTGCACTAAGGACTAAGTGAATGATTTCTCCGCTCTGACTTTACTCTTTGAAAAATATAGTTTGTGATTCTGTTTCTTTCTTAAGGTTTTCCTTTAAACTTTTTTATTAGCATGTGTGTGTGATACGTAATGCATAGATTCATCGTGGTACTGGTACATATCCTCATCACGTCTCTGTGTCTTCAATCCAAGAGCTAGCCCCCAATAGCATAAACTCTAGAAAGGCTGGCTGGGACCCCATCTTTTCTCTGTGTCCCTTCAGATGTCTCTGGTAGAATGAAGCACAAAGTGGGTGTCTAATAAGGCCTGCTAACCAGTTGGAGGGAGAAGAAATGTTTTCATTTTCACGAATGGTCCTAAAGAGCGTTGACATTACGGTCTCGGATGTTGGTTTTTCACATGGCTGGGGGCAACTTCCTCACTTTTGTGAGCACTTGCAAACATCTGCAGGCAAATCCCTTCACCAACAGTTTCTACCTCCACTCACAGCACAGTTGACACTGGCAAACTGCCACGAGGCTCAGTGTTTTCAACTGTCCATTCACCGCACCTCCTAAATCAACGCTGCCTTCCAGAATGGGCCTAGGACACCCCGCCTCATGCACTAGGCGCCCTTTGCCAGGCCACATTTCTCAGCACCCTGAATGAAAAGAACATGTCTGCAGTTGGCTCACTCTGCCCCGCCCTTCTTTGTTTTGGCATCTCTACCAATGCCCTGGCACATGGTCACTCTTGGTTGGTGTTGCTGGCAACTGGATTCAGAGGTCTAGGACATGACTCCATATATAGAAAGAGCCACCCAGCAAAGAATGGGAGAAAATGGCCTGATGGGAAATAAACACACGGAAAAGCAGCTATGAATTATTCAGGAGTAGGGTGATTGATATAGCTTAAGATCCTGGATTGCATGTGAAAAGTTTTGTGATATTTAATGTGTTCAGAAATGTAATTATTTTTGGGTAGCTTGAAATAGAGGTAATTTTGAAACCATAGAAGGTGATATTAAAAAGCATTCTTTGAAACAACTGTGAGCATATGCTCAACTGATTAACATCTCGGTACCAACAATAGCCACTGTGGGAGCTAATCTGGAGAAAGACTTCTGTGGGATAGAAAAGCTGGTGTAAGGTTACTCATTTATGCCCAGATCTAAGGCAGATGGGAATTCTAATGCACAAAAGCAGTAAATGGTAAAATGACCAAATCCAAACCTTCATCTCATTCACTATATGTTAAAAGAGAGGCCTGAGGTCAGCGTACGTGTAAATTTGTCCTTATATGACCTTTATCTGATAATCTGAGTGTAGGCAAAAGCGTCATTAAAGGGACCTCACCATACTTTCATGCACATTAATTATCTCGCAAAAAGCTTCGTTTCTTTACAGCAGCCTAAGAAATCCACCCAAATATGTCTCCATGCTTTACTCTGTGCATCACATGTGGCTTCCTGCTTGTGTGTGACGGAGCCGATGCAGAAGACAGAAACTCGGATCTGACACAGATCTCTAAATAATATTTAAAATGTCAAAGGAATTGGTGGCTGCCAGGGGCCAGGAGAGGGGAAGTGGGAGAGAAGCTGGGAAGAGGTTTTGCCTTGGAGTCGTGGCAATATTTCGGGAACTGGTTGTACAACTTAACTGTAGAGTACACTAAATGCCTCTGAGTAGTGCATTTAAAATGGTGAATTTTGGGTTGTGCGACTTTCAGTAAATTAAATAAATAAAATATTTTTTAATAATTCCCATAGAATCTAAAAAGAGTGATGCAAACAACTAAGACAAAAGCAGGATTTGGAAGGTGCTGTTTTGGGGTTCGTACTAGGACTCAGAGCCTGATGTACCCTTAGAGGTACAAGGCCCCCCTAGGGGACAGATGGCAATTTGCGAGAGCATCTGTCCTCAGAGTCAGAAAAAGGAGATGAAGGAGGAGGAAACGAGGAGGGGCTCTGGTAATTGGAATTACCTTCCACATCACAGCCCAGCAGCTCCATCCGCAGCCCTAGGCCGCCGTGAGTGGCTCTCTCGGGGTAGATCCGGATGAGTCGCGTAGAAATAGGTGGAAATGTCCGTAGCTCAGGTGTGTCATAATTGTTGTTGCCTTCAAAAGACTGTGAAGTGTAAAGAACACCAGTCATTAAGAAAAAATGATGACCTCCCTTTTTGATGGCCGTTTCTTCCCTCTGGAGGGACACGAACAACTTTTTTCCTCCACCTTCTCTATGTCCAGTGATGGAGGCGGAGAAGTAAACTAACAGTAGACAGGTTAGCAGGAGAAAAGGAGAACCAACTTACTACCCACACAGAGGTAGGGCACAGATGAATTCTGTCACTACACAGAAAGATCTAGAAGCTCAGATATCTGCTTTGTTGGGGGGAGGGGTGACCCAGGGAAGGGCAGATGATTTCTGGGAAGTCAAATTGGTCCTGAGAACCAGTCACAGCCCAGGCATCCACCCCCACTCTGTGAAATGACCTTAGTCTTCCCTGGCGGAGGAAACCCTGGGATACTACTTCTGACAAATGAGTCCCTTTGGGAAGACTCCCCCTAAGGCAGATAAGGGAGGCTTAGAGAAAGACCTTCCCTTCACTTCCTGTCCCCCAAGTCCCCTGAATGTGAAGTCCCAGTGAGCATATTTCCAGTGGCATTTCCTGAACTACTTCAGGACATTTAATAGGGCAGAAAAACCAGCCTTGTTCCACCACTTCCTAAATGGCTGGCATTTCTTTCATAAAGGAGAAAGGAAGAAACAAACTTTTCTAAGAAGTGACAGATGTCAGGTCTTAGCAATCTTGCTGTACACACTGAAGCTACACCAGAGGCTGAGGGTTTAATGAGATGTTTTTAAATGATATGCTGATATGCCTTGGAGAGGTGTCACTTTTATCACCTCCTTGAGGTGGAAGAAGATAACTCAGGAAGCACACTTGCCATTTTTTAGAGCTTATAATAGCTACCACATTTCCAGACTCCAGTTAGGCTCTCTGAAATGAGAGGGTCCTCGTTTTGCTAAAACTTGGTCCTCTGAAAAGGAATTAAATTTCAAATGTAGGAGAGAGTAATTACTATTTTATTCAATGCTGGGGAGGCAAGGCACGGCTTTGCCCATAAGAAGCAAACACGCTACCACCGAGCTACACTAGGCCCAGGGACAGTGCATGTAATGTAGTACAAGTTCTGTTAATTTAAAACTAGGGTTATCCCAACCCTTTGACATTACTGTTAGTTTAAGAAGTGTTGCAAAAGGGTCATTTATAGATAAAAGACCCTTCTCATCTAGGGAAAGCAGCAAGGGTCCTGACTACTAAGTGGTGTTCTGAATACTGGTATGACTGCTGTACACCTTGTGCACCCTTAACTTGAAGCCACTGTGACATTTTGCAGGTGCCAGGCCACCCACTGCCAGAGCCACCACTCGATTATTTTATTTCCTGTGTTGCAGCGGCAGAAAGATCAAAATCACTGAGTGGAATAATAGAAAAATAGAGCTATGGTCAAGTCTGTTTTCTTTTTCAAGAAATGGGTAAGTCTCCACATAGTCTCTTTGCTCAACATCAGTCTTGATTTGATTGAGAAAAGAAAGGGGAAGAGGGCTTCAAAAAATAAAATGGCCATCTAGTCAGGAATGGCTGTTTACATACCAAATATGGTATGATGTTTAAGCACAGTGGAAGGCACTGTTTTCAGTTGTTAAATGAGATTAACTCATGTAATCCTCAAGACAGCTGTATGAGGTCAATTCTATGTCACCTCACTTTTACAGAGGAGGAAACGGAGGCACACAGCTGTTGAGGAATGTGGCCAAGGCCATTGTACATACAGTAAGTAGCACAGCCAGGATTCCAGCCGAGGCAGCCTTAGCTGGCACTCCTAACCACACCAGCAAGATCTCTCTGTTCATAGCTATCTTGCAAAAGAGGGCTGGGGGTGTAGCTCAGTGCAGCTCAGTGTAGAGGGCTTGCCTAGCATATGTGCGACCTTAGGTTTGATCCCCAGCACTGAAAACACCAGTGTTTTGAGAGGGCTTCCTGCTACGCTGCCAAGGCTGGTCTTGAACTCCTGGGCTCCAGTGATCCTCCCTCGTCAGTCACCATGTAGCCAGGACTATTAGCACGTCACTGTGCCCAGCTTCTAGTCTCTTTGTGTTAATAGCTGAGAGCTCTGAGGTCCAAGAAGTGTTTATGCCTAAGGAAACACATTTAGTGTCATTAATTTGTCTTTAACTTGGTGCAAATTAGCTGTCAGGACTGGTTGACCAGATGGAGCGGCCCGCCAGCCAGGGTCACATCGGTTATCGGTGGGACCAGGCCCAATGTCTGGGTCAAGAAATCGTAACACTGCCAAAGATGTGATCATTCAGCAGTGGAAATGTCTCAGCAGAGTAGAAGACACATGTAGGTGAAGACTAACAGATTGCACAATCTGTGACAAATTGAGGGGTTTTCTGAGTTATAGAAGTAAATTATTTGGCTTTATCCAACTCAGAAAAGCCACTTGTAATTTGAAAACAGAGCTGCCTCTTGCAATTAGTTTTCTTCTGTTTTTTAAAAGACTAAATTCACTATCAGGGTCCTGCACTCTTAATAGAGCTGCAATCGCTGCCAGTAATTGAGAATCTGACATATATTATGGTTAGGCCCAATTAAGTTGTTGTCAGGAAGGTGCTAATTATAATGAAAATAACCTTACTTACCAGCAAGTTCTCTCTCTCATTCACATAGTCCCAGAAATAAGAGGAGAGAAGCACTGGTGTCTATGGAAGCCCAGGCTCCTCTCTTAATTTTAGCTTGTGGAAAGAATCAACACAATGGAGCTTCATGGTAAAAGCTGTCGGTGGTGAGCTGGGATAAGTACTAGAGATCAAAACCTAGATGGGCCTTGGCTAGGTTTGAGAACAGGAACTTGCTTAGGAATTATCTTTGAGTTCTGTGAGTAATCATGTCTTAGATGGAAGGTAGGGGCTTGGTCTAACTCTATCTGTTCCTGAAAAGTGGAATTAATTCAAAGACTGACAAACCTTGTCCACCAAGCCATGTCTGTGGGTGGAGCAAGGAAAGAGAGAGAGGTTTTAAAAACCATGCAAGCACTGTTTTGTTTCCCAAAACAGGCTACTGATTTCCCTTTTACGGTAAGGATACTTGGCATTCCAAGCAGGTGACCTTCATTTATACAATGAAATACAAGTTTTAAATCTGTGTATGTAAAACATATGCTGCTCTGAATTTGAAAGTTTTACCAATTTCCCTTTTCACTGGGGAGCTTTTATTTCAGTGAAGGGCATGTTAGGAATCGTAGACACTCTAGCACCAGAATCTAGACGAACAATTTGGAAGCTTTCATGGTTTTAAATACCACAGGAAGATGATAGTGATGGATATTTTGGGAATAAAATCCAGCAGTAAAAGTCAAGCAATCCTGAGTACTTTGTTAAAGTTAAAACACGTGCCCTGGCTTCTCCTGGGGTTCTGTACTCGATTTACTGCACGAGACTGACAGCTCTAGACTCGATCACAGGCGCATGGATTAGATCACAAAGACAGGAGGCATCAGATGAGTCCCCTCCAAGGCATATGGCCATTTGTTTTCTTTCTCTCTCAGAACCGAGTGTTGAAGGATGTGTCACAACAGCACACCCTGCCATCGACAGCAGCCCCAGAAGTTGCTGATCTGTGACATATTCAAGCTCTCTGATGAAGCCACGAGTCCCTGATCCTCAGAAGAGACTGGCGTATGGGAAATTACAGTTTCTGGTGACTATTTTACTTTTCCTTTCACCGAGATGAGAGGGATGGACACAAAAGGAGAAAGGGAAAAGAACATGAGAAAGAATGTGCTGCATATGCAAGTGTTGATAGAACATACGGTGAATGCTGCTTAAGTTAATAAAACTTATTATAATAGCAGACACGTTACCAAGAAATATGAAATAAGTGTGTTCAATGTAAGGGGGGAGTATTTTGAGGGAAATTAATGGCAATGTGTCACTCACTGCATTTAAATGCTAACATTCACTGTATGTTTTGCTCACCCCAAAGATCAGCTGTTTCTAGCAACTTCCGTCAAATAAAAACTTTACAGTGTGTCCTCATCCACCTTATTCACCAGATCTGGCACTGTGCAACTTTGACTCTTTCCCAAAGTCAAAATGACCGTGAAAGGTAACTGTTTTCAATTGATTCAAGACATTGAGACACCCAGGACAGGACAAGGAAAGACACTCGTGGCAGAGGACCTCCAGAACTGTTTCGGAAAGTGGCAGGAAGGCTGGGATAAGTGTATCTGAAACACAAGAGTATCTGGAGGAGGACTCATGGCAGTGTGCCTTTTACTGTCATGATTTTCTCTGTATGTTTTGATCCCATCAGGTAGGTATGTGTAACTGTAGGCGTTCCAGAAACTAAGCTACCAGCGAGAAATGGGGGAGTTCTCACATTGTGACAGAATGGGTCCTTCCGGTGTCCGACTGCCGTGGGGCTGACCCGTGGCCAGTGGGAGCGGGGTTGGTCCCCTGCCCGCATAGCCTTTGGCCCCCGTGACTGAGCCGTATTCCCACACGCCATGGAGAGGGAGCAAGGGTAATCTTTTCTCCAAGGAGTTAAAGCTTTCTGTTTCCACAGGAGCAGGTCCTGGGCAAGGCATGGGTGGACAGGCTGAGGCAATGAGTCCACTCGTGTTGGTGTGAGAAGAGTCATCAGCCAGACCTAGTTCCCACACTGCAGATGGAACTGAAAACGCTGTCTGTGGGCTGATCCATGTTGTAATCATAGACCAGCTCCCGGGCCACTCGGTAGACTTCTGGAATCCTTTCCAAATTGGTGTTGTGTGCTCAGGAAATGTAAATAAGCATGACCGTCAGTCTAAGTAAGACTTAATTAGTAAAGCACATGTGTTCACTTAAAATTATTCCACGTTTTCGTGAATGTTGAAATATTTTTACATTGAGATTCCCTTCTCTTCTTGCAGCATTATCAAGAGCCAAAGACATTTAAAAAGGTTCCAGATGCATAAGGAATAGTCACAATAACCAAGAGATAGAAACATTCAAGTGTGAATCAGTGGATGAATGCATAAACCAAATATGGTATATACACACAATGGAATATTATTTAGCCCTAAAAAGGAACAGAATACTGATACATGCTACAACCTGGATGAACCTCGAGGACATTATGTTGAGTGGAATAAGCTACTCAGAAAAGGACACATACTGTATGGTTCATTCATATGTATATATTTTGTTGTTGTTGTTGTTGTTGTTTTGTTTTGTTTTTGTTACCGGGGATTGAACTCGGGTCCTTGTGCTTGTATGGTTCATTTATATGAGGCTTCTAGAATAGTCAGATTCATAGAGAAAGTGGAATGGTGGTTGACTGGCGAGAAGGGATATGACAAGTTGTTATTTAGTGGGAATGGAGTTTCACTTTTTCAAGGTGAGAAAGTTCTGGAAACTGTACAACATGATGAATATACTTGGCACTACTGACATGGCAACTTAAAAAGGTTAAGATGGCAAAATTTATATTATGCCTATTTTATCACAATTAAAAATGAAAAAAAATACCCATGGAAGGTGGGTTGTAGCTCAGTGTAGGGTGTTTGCCTAGCACACCCAAGGCCAAGAGTTCAATCCCTAGAACCTCAATATTGAAAAGAAGGAAGGAAGAGAACATATTTAAACCAGGGGGGGAAGAGAGAGGAGGAAAAGGGACCCCAACCTGCAGCAGGGAGCTGGCAGAAAGGCCCTGCAGGTTTGATGCTGTCACCTCCTGAGCCCTCAGTCGCCCAGCTCTGTTCCAGGGACCAGCCAACCCTCAGCCAGGGAAGGGCAGAGCCATGCAGCACATAGCTGTTTATCTGACCTCACACTCTGCACCATCCACCCTACAAGCAGGGGGCTTAGAGCAGGGTAAGAAGCAGCCTTCCCCAGGGAAGCGCTGGTCCTGGGTTGGAACCAAGGGCACCGGCTGCCCCCACGCCTGTGCCTGGTCTCACCTTGGCCTTACGTCTGCTGTCGTCCATGATCATCTTCCAGTCGGAGCCGTTGTTGCTGTACCCGACCTTGAACTTCCTCATGTACACCTTGTTCTCCCGGTGCTTCCCGCCCTGGATGATGACGCCCCTCACCATGGTCTCCTCGCCCAGGTCCACCTGCAGCCACTCATTGTTGTAGGGGTGCGGGGCGGGGGGCAGGACCCAGCCGGAGCGGCTGCTTATCAGGCGGACGTTCTCCGGCATCCAGTTCCTGTCCCCTTGGTTGGATGCCGTGATCTGGGAGTCGGAGATGAGTCCGGACACGATGCCCAGCATTCCGGAGCACGGGTAGTCTAGGGGTGGGATGGAACAGATGAGGTGAACTTAGTTCCCGGGAGACTTCAGGTTTAGAAAAAAAAATGGTGGATTGAATAAAGACAGTGTCCTGTACCCACTCTTAAAACGTGTTTAATCTCTGGGTCATTTTACATCCAATCAACGTTCTTGCCTTCAAACTTTCTCCTACTCTTTCAGAACTCCGTGCTGTACACACACACATCTCGGTAAAGAAAATCCTCAGTACACACACACATCTCTCCCTCTTCTGACTCTGGCTACTATTAATGTCAGACTGTTGAGGGTCTAGTCTCTTTGGCGTCCAGAAGTTATTCCCAGATCAAGGACAGGTGCTGGCCAAAGAAGTTCACAACTCATGACTGGTTGGAGACTTGCAGAGAACCCAAACCCAACAGCAAGACAGTTGGTAAAATGAAAGTGAAAAGTGGTGAGGAGAAGACCAAGAGCGAGCAGACGGGGGTGCTGGTGTGTGTGGGGGGTGGCACTTGGGCTCAGTGTGGGAGTGCAGTGCCCATCTCCCCGGCCCTCGTTGCTTCGGTACTTTTCACATGGATGCACCACTGTCACCTCAAACACACCGTGCATAGACAACACCAGGCTCCCCCACACACAATGAAGCCCTTTACTGAACCCTGCATTTCAACCATCAGTTGAATCATCGGTCACCTCCTGCCTTGCCACCTTGTCATTTCCTACTTTCCATCTTCTACTTCTGTTTTATTATTAAATCATGTCACAGCCAGGGTGCGAAAGGACCCCCTTGGCCGGCCTCCTATACTTCAGGCCTGCCTCTACACAACACGCACCGCCATAGAACTGGCAGCAAGTGTGGACTATGCCACATTATTCCCATTGCTAAACAATCTCCATTGCTAAAGAAATAAGGTAGACACCAAAGGATCCACACTGGATGACACCATTGCTGTGAGTTTTCTAGGGTAGACAGCAAGACAGAGAGTAGAATGAACGGTCAACACGGGGACTGGGGAAGAGGAGAATGGAGAGCCAGTGTTGGCCGGGAACGGAGCCTCAGTTTAGGATGGGAAAGTCCCTGGACCTGCACAGTTGAGGGCCACACTGCAATGTGACTGCACTGCATGGAACTGCACTGAGAACTCCGAATAGCTGAAGTGTAAACTACACGTCATACACATTTTACAACATTAAGAAAATGACGGAGCTTTTAAAATTGTCTTCTATGGGGGAGAATATGAAAGCTATCAGGGTTTCAAGATGCTCACTGAGGTCTCACCTCTTAGCTAGTTTTGTCGAACTACTGATAATGTATTCCAGCTAACGGATTCTCCTCTCGTGCACAGGGAAAAGGCGTGATGCGCACATTACATTGGGGTATTCCTGCCACCCTGTTTCTCCTCTTGCTCCAAACTTTATGACTAAGCTCAAGACGCATGATGAAGACTTTTTACCCTGCTGTAGTCCTTTCCCAGAGCTATTACAGTAGATTCGAGAAGTAGCTAAGCTCAGCATCCAACAACTGTGTACCTAATTGTAGACTGTTGGTCTCATGTCCACAGCTAGATTTTTATGAGTCTTAAAGGCAATGCAAAGCATCATCAAACTTTTCACATGTGGCACAGCAGCCCAACTAGCCCCTGGGCACAGGAAGAATATCGGTCACTATTTGGTGGCCTAAGAGCAAAAAGCCTATTATTCTCCTTCAAAAGTGTATATCTTGATAAAAGACACACCCTATTTTTCTCCTAAATGACTCAGTGCTCCAAAATGCAATGTAAGTGTAGCCTAAAAACACAATTATCCTAGAGACATCCTTCTAATGCTATTAAGCCACTCTCACGTTGTCAGCTGACCCCTGAGAATTAGTTACTCAGGTACTTTCTGCATGACGTATGCTGGTCAGACCAAGCCATGTCTTCCCCGAATCATGCATGTTTCTCTAAGAGTTAGGCATGGGAGGCTTCCACGGCACCTCACAGACCCTCTCCTGGTTCTTGAGCCAGTCAAAGAAGGAAGCTTTCCCTCCTTTCTTCCCACCACGCATTCACCATCGTGTTTGTTCTCCCGATATCCGATTGGCATAGGACCATTGGATCGTTTTCAAACACTGCTTCCTTCATTCTTCTTTCGTTCATTCACGTTTTCTCTCTCTGCAACTTGGCCTTCTCTCTAACTCTTCACAAAAGTCCGTCTGCCTTTCTCCTGTGTTGCTGATCCTATTCAGATCTGGAGATGGTTGGTCTTTGCTTCCTCATATTTTTAATTCCTTTGAGAGTGGGAACCAAGTCATATTTTGTTTTAATTTTCTCTGAGACTTTGTTCCCTGCATTATGCATCGTCATTCTCAACAAATATTTGCTGAATGAATCAACTTATTAATACAATAAAAGGTGGCTGTCACTTTCTCAAGGTCCTTTCCTGTCATTCAGCTTCACTGTTTGCTACAGGCTGGGATCTGAAATCCAAGAACACACTCAATGGGGGATTAAAAAAAGATTTACAAAGACTCTTTTACTGAGGGACTGTGAAAATATAGTGTTAAAAATAGAAGTCACATTTTTTGGGCCACCATGGTCACACCTGCCTGATTCAAAACCAGCTTTCATAAGGGCAGTGTTCAGCTGGTAATGGGGACCAGATGTTCCCATATGGAGCAAAACAGAATTAACGTGGATATTGTCAGGAAAGCAGAACCTTCAGCAGACTAATACCTGTTCCATGCAGAGCTGGCCTGGGCATAGTTTATATCTCCACAAACCTAGTGATACCCAGATGCCATCCAGCCGACAAATCCACGGTGCACAGTTACTCCATGACAGTGCCATTCCTTCCATGTGACTGTCTCCCTGCACACAGTCCCTTCCCCTCAGAAAATTGGACAATGAGAAGGTACCTTGATTTGCTTCTTTTAACATGATTGGGGGGAAACCTATATTAACAATTAATTCAAGGTTCAACTGGTGTATTAGCTTCTAACTCTGTTCTTCCATGGTAGGGCTGATTCAGATATGCTTGGCTGCATAAACCTTTTGGAAATAGCACTGTGAGATACACCAAACAAACAAATAAGCAAACAGACAAATAAACAACCAAACAAGAAACAAGATGCCCAACTAAATTAGAATTCAGAAAAACGAAACGAATTTTGTAGCATAGCTTATGCAACATGAGGGACATACTTTGCTTAACACTTATTCTTTGCACTGAATTCAGCTGGACTTCTGTATTTTACTCAGCAACCCAACTGGGAAAGCTTAAAATCCACCCTGGATGGAAGGGAAATGAGTTCTGTAAGGGGGGATTGAGTGGGCTCTTTCAGTGATCTTATTTTATTATAAGATTTCTACTCAGCTTTAACAGAAAATCGAGATATATTTGGTAAGTCAAATATCCAGGTAACCAGTTTTTCAAAGAATTTGGGAGTATTAACTGCATGTCACGAGGATCCTAAGTGAGCATAATTTAACTTTCCCGTGATAACTCAGGGGACCTTTCTGGCTCATATTGTCTGTGGTGGCCATTATGGACTCTGATGGACTTAGGAGCACAAGAACTTCTGCTGGAGACCAGCTAACAGACTTCTGGTTGACCTGCACTAGAGAGTAAGTTCTAGGTGTGTTATCATTTATAAAGCAATAACCTTCCAACAGTGTTTTCATCAACTTCCTCCTTTGCCAAAAAGAGGAATTTCACTTTGCAAAATAATGAAAATATTCCTTCATCAAACACCTACAAAGCAGAACTGTTTGCTCCAATCTCATTTTCTTTATACCTCTCCATGGTGATACAGTATTGCATATCCTGGATTTCCCTAAGATCGCTATATTTCTAAAAAAATCACTTCTGAAAACAAAAATTAGGCTAGAATTAGGGGTCTGGATGCCTTGGAAGCCAAGTGACACGTTCACATGGTAATTTTTTAGTTTGGTAGAATTTTTTTAAAAAATCTTGACTGTTAGGACTTGCTACTTGACAGGGGATGCTGGAACTTTGAGGCCACTGATTTGTCACGAGGGATGGACGGAGCTGCAGTTCATCCATGTAGCCAGAAGTAACCACTGCACACTTGTTATGTTCGAGGCATCAGGGCACGAGAGAAAAGGTGCACAAGGCTCCTGCTCTCAGGAACCTTCCTTCCAGGCAGGAGTATGGCTGCCCTGTTCCTTCACTGATCTGCACTCTGAGGGAACTGGGGCCTCAGAATGGAGAAAATTCTGGTAACCAAGAAGGCAATACTCATCCTGCTCTACTGAAGCTCTGCTTGCTGGGGCTTCTCCTGGATCCCATTCATTGAGCGCCACGTCCCGCTCTAGTGTTCTGGGCTCCCTTCAGGGAGCATGAACTCTAAGCCAGGTACGTTACAAATATATTTTCCTTTGGCTGCCAGCACAGCTGCCTTATAGTTAATCTTAGAGATGAGGGAATTGAGATCAGAGAAGAAATATGTCCTCCCAGAGCCCTGGAAATCTCATGTACGTCCTGTCTGATATCATCACCGCAGCATGCAGCCTCTCCCACCCAGCCTCACTCACTTCTGTGGAGATTATAGCTAGGTTATTAGAGGAAAAAATATTCCAAACTATATTAAAGAGGGCCAGGGATTTGGCTCAGGGGCACAGCCCCTACCTGGCAAGCGAGGTCCTCAGTTTAATCTCCGGTACCAAAAAAAAAAAAAAAAAAAAAAAAAAAATAAAAAAAA